AAATTATTAATAGAGATAAAGATATGACACCGATAAATGATAAAAAGTTCATTTTGGGCCGGGCGCGGTGGCTCATGCTTGTAACCCCAGCACTTTGGGAGGCCGAGGTGGGTGAATCACGAGGTCAGGAGATCGAGACCATCCTGACCAACATGGCGAAACCCCGTCTCTACCAAAAATACAAAAATTAGCTGGGTGTGGTGGCACACGCCTGTAGTCCCAGCTACTTGGGAGGCTGAGGCAGGAGAATTGCTTGAACATGGGTGGCGGAGGTAGCAGTGAGGCGAGATTGCGCCACTGCACTCCAGCCTGGCAACGAAATGAGGCTCTGTCTCAAAAAAAAAAAAAAAAGTTCATTTTGGATACAATAACTTAAAATTTGTAATTAATAACTTCAAAATATAAAAAAATTTGACACAATTTTAAGGGATATGAGTTTATAATCATACTGAAATATTTTAACATACCTGTCTCACATGCGATAGACGTCAAGTAGACAAAGACATTTGTAAAAATGTAGAAGAATTGAACAACACAAGTATTAAACTTTTTTTTTTTGAGAGATGGAGTTTTTCTTTCTTTATCCAGACTGGAGAGCAGTGGCATGATCTTGGCTTACTGCAACCTGTGCCTCCCAGGTTCAAGTGATTCTCCTGCCTCAGCCTCCTGAGTAGCTGGGACTATAGGTGTGCACCACCATGCCTGGCTAATTTTTGTATTTTTAGTAGAGATGGGGTCTCACTATCTTACCTAGGCTGGTCTCGAACTCCTGACCTCAGGTGATCCACCTGCCTCGGCCTCCCAAAGTGCTGGGATTACAGGTGTGAGCCACCGCACCTGCCACAGGTAGTAAACTTAACCTAATGGAAATATATAGAACACTGTACCTAAAAATTGTAGAATCTAAGTTTTTTTCCAATGCACAGGCACGTTTGAAATTCAGTATATGCTGGCCATAACACAAGTCTCAACTTTCAAAGAGTTGAAATTATACAGAGTATGTTCTCTGACAACAATAGAATTAAGCCAGGATCAGTAAAAAGAAAATCTCGATGTATTTAGAAATTTTAGTTATCTAAGTAACTTATGAGTCATAGAAAGCTTAAACATTTTGAGTTGAACAATAGCAAATATATATATGTATATAAAATGGGGTACAGCTGAAGTCATGTTTGGAGGGAAATTTGTAGCTTAAGATACATATATTAGGAAAGAAGATATGCTGAAAATCAGGTAGTTAGAAGAAGAGCAACACATTAAACTCAAAGGAAATAGAAGTTTTTTTTTTTTTTTAAAGGATTTATAAAAGAATGTGGAGGAGGAAGTTGCTGATCAAAGAGGTATGCAAAGGCCCTGTGGCAAGAGGGAGCTTGGGGAAATCGTGGGACTGAAAGAAAGCTGTGATGGTTAGCACTGGCAAGCATCAGGAGCCGTTGGTTGTGACCTGACACCGGAGAGGGTTAGAGGCTGCGTTAGGGAGCTCTGTCTGTTTCCCCCAGAGTAGTGGGATACAACTGCTTTAGGATTTTAGGAAGGAGCATGACCTAATCAGATCATGGTTGAAAAGATGGCTCTCTCTGGGCTGCGGTTGCCTGAGTGGGTGCTGGCTGACCCAATGCAGTGAGAGAGGCTGGCAGCCCAGGCCTGGGCTGTGGCAGTGGTGATGCGGGAAGAGGCTGGATTTGAGAGATTCTGAGGAGGTGACATTGTGAGAGCTCAGTGATGGTTTGGTGTGGGTGTTGGGGGAAAGGAGATTTGTGGTGTCTGTGATGAGCTGGCTCATGGAACTCTATCTCATTTAAGGAGCTGTAGTTGAGGACAACTTTGGGGATTTTACTCTTACCTAGCTCCACCGCATGCTATCCTGGATCATCTTATTCTCCACTACCCCAGTTTTGCCAGTGAGTGACATAGACTTAGCAGTTAGGTGGCTTGCTAGTGTGCCGTGAAGCCATGTAGGTCTCACTGATTCCAGATTGGGCCTCCTTTGTCCCTTCCTCCCCAGTCTCCAGTCATGTGGCAGCAGTGAGGATGGTTCATCTGAGCCCGAGAATGAGGACAGTATGACGGGGTCAGGGCCCGATTGAATGCTGGGGCCATTGGCTTTTCAGAGGTGGACGGAGGATGATGAGGAGAACCAGTCACAGAAGAAAGGACTGGCAGGGGAGAGAGAGGAAGGGGGCTGCAAGAAGCCCCAGAACAAGCACAGTTTACCCCTAATTGCCTCAGTGAACGTCTCCACAAAATGAGGAGATTTTCCTATATGAGAATACCATTATACCTGAAAATTGAATTGTAATTTTCTAACATTTAATATCCAGATCATTTTCAAATTTCCCCAGTTGAACCACCTCTGTTTCCTGGTTTCAAATGATTCTCCTGCCTCAGTCTCTCAAGCAGCTGGGATTACAGGCACCTGCCACTGTGTCCGACTAATTTTTGTATTTTTAGTAGCAACAGGGTTTCACTATGTTGGCCAGGCAGGTCTTGAACTACTGACCTTAGGTGGTCTGCCTGCCTAAGCCTCCCAAAGTGCTGGGATTACAGGTGTAAACCACCATGCCCAGCTGGATTAATGGCTTTTAATGGCAGAAGCCACGACTACTTTTGCACCAACCTAATAAAATCTGTTTCTTAATTTTTCTGATTGCTCATGCATTCTTTTACGTCATTTTTTTATCTTCTATATTTCTTATAAAGTAGAAGTGAGAGGTTTCAAAGACTCTCACTTCTGTATTTCGGTTGACATTTTGGGCACATCCCTAAATATGGGACTCTCTGTGCTCTGTACTGCATTCCACTCTGAAGAGTGCATGCCCTGCCAGGCTGTCCCCCTCTGCTGTGTCATCGCTTGGTTTACAGGAGATTGTTAGGTCTTTTCTTTCTTCTTCTCCTTCTCCTTCTCTTTTCTCTTCCTTTCTCCTTTTCTTAAAGAGACATGGGATCTCCCTACGTTAAGCCAATCTGGTCTTGAACTGTCCTAAAGTGATCTTTCTGCCTTGGCCTCCCAAAATTCTGGGATTACAGGCATAAGCCACCCTGTCTGACCAGATATTTTTATTGGAGGTGTGATTTCCCCTTTACAATTAGGAAGGAATAGGTGATTCCTGGGCACCGTGCAAATATCTTTTTCCCCAAATGGTTTTCCACATTTATAACAATACAGGACTTGCCTGAAAGAATTTTATTATGAGAGTTTGTAAAATGGAGATTCCCATCTCCCCATTCTGTCATTTATTCCATATTTATCTATTGGTGTTCTGTCTTTTCTCGGGGCCGGGCAAGGTGGCTCATGCCTGTAATCTTAGCACTTTGGGAGGCTGAGGCAGTTAGATCACTTGAGGTCAGGAGTTTGAGACCAGCCTGGCCAAAATGGTGAAACCTCACCTCTACTAAAAATACGAAAAAAGTTAGCTGGGCGTGGTGCTGGGCACCTGTAATCCCAGTTACTCCAGAGGCCGAGGCAGGAGAATTGCATGAACCCAGGAGGCGGAGGTTGCAGTGAGCCAAGATGTGCCACTGCATTCCAGCTTGGGTGGAGAGTGAGACTGTCAAAAAAATAAAAATAAAAAAGATACTTTCTCACTTCAACCGAGTTAAGGACCATAGTTCCTCCTAAAAAGGTAGGGCAATTGCTGGATTCTTTCTGTTTAATTACCAGTTTTCTTTCTTTTCTTTCTTTTTTTTTTTTGAGACAGAGTCTCACTCTGTCACCAGGCGCCAGGCTGGATGGAGTGCAGTGGCAGAATCTCAGCTCACTGCAACCTCTGCCTCCCAGGTTCAAGCGATTCTCCTGCTTCAGCCTTCCAAGTAGCTGGGACTACAGGCGCATGCCACCACGCCCAGCTAGTTTTTTTGTATATTTTTGGTAGAGATGGAGTTTCACCATGTTGGCCAGAATGGTCTCGATCTCTTTGACCTCTTGATCTTCCCGCCTTGGCCTCCCAAAGTGCTGGGATTACAGGCTTGAGCCACCGCACCTGGCTAATTACCAGTTTTCAAGGTAAGGATTTGGTAAATAGTCATCCCCAATAGAGGCAAATGTTTCTCTCCCCGCAACCCTAAACCCCCACACCCACCCTGAGTATCATTATATGGATTTGTGGCTATTTTTATTCTGTGTTTTACAGTCAGTTACAGTCATTCTTTTTGATGCTCAAATCATTCTGATTTTCCCAGAAACGTACCTTCATCTGGCTCTTTGGTCTTTGAAGGCTTGCTTGCAATGTTGCAATCTGTGTTCATCTTCTAGTTGTAGGTAGAAGAGAGAGTGTGTGTCCTGTGGCCAAGGCGGCAGCCCATCTCCCTTCAGTCCTGGCACAAGAGTGCCTAGGAGTTTCCAGATTTCAGGCTGGTAGGTCTTTGCTTCCATTGTTTGGATTGGCTTAGGTTTAGGGTTGTCCCTAAACCTAAACTCTTAAAATGAGTTGGGTAGCTTTCTGTTAGGAAGGCTTTTGTCTCTACCTCTCATATTGAATCTCCATGTATTGTATTTTTTGGGGGGAGGTTCTTATCTGTGGGTTAGACCATCTGTCTCCTTACCACTGTCCACCTCGGTATTTTTCTCTCTCCATTGTATCCATCAGCATTCTGGGAGCCTCTCAGTTTTGTCTTTTTGCCACCAGTGACATTTTCTTTAATGTACATTTTTCCCTTTGGCTCCTTCCATTTGGATTTTAATTTTTCCTTAGTGCAATTGTTTTCATTTTCTCTTCTAATCGTGGTCAGCATCTTAGCTTGTTGTCTTTTAATTTCATCCTGTTCTCATTTTGGTGCTCCCTGTCCTTTAAAAACATTTTAATTTTAACTTTTTAAATAAAGACCATGTCTTCCTGCATCTTACTAACGACAGGAACCACATCTTTTCTGACATGGTCTTCCATTTTCTGCAATCATTCATTTCAGGTTTGTGCATGTGCTTAATGGCATGTTTTTCCATCAGCCTCCCCCCTCCCCCTTTCTGTTCTAATTTAGTTGGCGTTTGCCAGGCTGTGGGTTTGAATTGCTGTTTTCTGGGCACTTGGCTGGGTGTGATCTGGGGCTGGCCATGGGGTGGTCAGCCACGGGCCCAGGCTGTGTGTCTTCTGCTCTGGACGTGCCCTCCCCTCCCCTCAAATTCCTGTGCAGTGGCCCCGTTTTCCATGTCCATGTGTGTTCCTCAGTAGTGGGTGTTTGTTGATCACCTGCTGCACACTCTGCTGTTCTGTGTCTGAGGGTGAAGGGTGTCTGCCTCCCTCTCCCCCACAGGAAGGGCTGGACTCCCATCCCCCGATGAATGGTGCTTTGTCCTTATAGAATGATGGAAGAGGGCTACTCTTTTTCTTTTAAACCTGCTATTTTAACCATTTTAAAGTATACAGTTAAGTAGCATTAAGTACGTTAATGGCATTGTGTAACCATCACCTCTATCTAGTTTGGAAACTTTTTTTTTTCCAGTTGTCAAATGATTCTTTATTGAAATATTTTCCTTTGTGCTTCTTAACTAGCAGGGCATTCCACTGCGCCACTCTTGATGTCATCGATGATGTCATGAGGGTGGCGGCCATCAACATTACAGCCCACAGACTGGGCAGGATCTCTTTGATGGTTCCAGAGAGTTCTCTAGCTAAAGATCGGTGCTGTATCTGTTGAGCAGTGTTGACGATCTCATCAAAAGTGATATTCCCACTGTGTTTAATGTTTCTCTGTTTCTTTCTGTCTCTTGGTGGTTCCTTGAGGGCTTTGATGATCAGGGCAGAGGCAGAAGGCACCACCTCAATCTGGGCCTGTCTGTTCTGAACGGTCAGTTTCACTGTAATCCTCAGGCCCTTCCAGTCACCTGTTGCCTTGGCAATGTCATCACCAGCCTTGTTTGGAGACAGACCTAGGGGGCCGATCTTGGGGGCCAGTGCAGAAGTGTCACTGTCTTCACTCCCGGTGCACCTCAGGTATACGACTTTGATCTCGTTGGGGTTGAACTTCGGCGGCATAGTGGAGGCGGCTGGTGTTGGATGAACCTGGATTCAGGACTACTGAAGAAAGTTGCACCTTGGCCGTCTCTGAGCCAAAAGCCAGTTTGGGAACTTTTTTATTGCCCACATGGAAATCCCATCCCCATTGTGAGTGTTGACTCCTCATTTCCCCCTCCTCCCAGCCCTTGACAGCCATGAATCTGCTTTCCATCTCTGTGGATTTGCCTAATCTGCATATTTCATTTATTTTTTGGACAGAGTCTTGCTCTTTCATCCAGGGTGGAGTGCAGTGGTTCAGTTCCAGTTCACTGCAGTCTCTGCCTCCCAGTTTCAAGTGATCCTCCCACCTCAGCCTTCCGAGGAGATGGGATTACAGGTGCGCTCCACTGTGCCCGACTGATTTTTGTGTTTTTAGTAGAGAGGGAGTTTCACCATGTTGTGGCTGGCTGGCCTCCAATTTGTGACCTCAAGTGATCTTACCGCCTCGGCCTCCTAAAGTGCTGGGCTTATATGCATGAGTCACTGCGCTTAGCCACTGAGCACTATGTTTTCAAGGCTTATTTACATTGTACGTTTCAGAACTTCATTTTTTTTTTTTTTTACGTGTGAATAATAATCTGTTCTGTGGATGTACCACATTTTGTTTGATCATTCATCAGTTGATAGATATTTGGGTTGTGTCTGTCTTTTGACTTTTGTGAATAGAGAGCTGCTGTGTACATTCGTGTACAAATTATTGTTTGAATGCCTGTTTTCATTTATTTTGTATTTTTTCTAGCATTTGAGACAGGGTCTCTGTCACCCAGGCTGGAGTGCAGTGGTGTAGTTATGGCTTACCGCAGCCTCTGCCTCTTGGGCTCAAGCAATCTTCCCACCTCAGCTTCCCAAGTAGCTGTGACTACAGATGTGTGCCACCAGGCCTGGCTAATTTTGTGATTTTTTTTGTAGAGATGAGGTCTTGCTATGTTGTGCAGGTTGGTCTGGAACACATGGGCTCAAGTGATCTTCCTGCCTCGGCCTCCCAGAATGCTGGGATTACAGGTGTGAGCCACTGTACCTGGCTGACCTGTTTTCATTTCTTTTGGGTACATGCATGAGTTAAATTGCTAGGTAATTCTATGTTTATCTTATTGAGGAACTGTGAAACTGTTTTCCACAATGGCTGCACCGTTTTACGTTCCCTCCAGCAGTATATGAGGGTTCCGGTTTTTCCATACCTGCCAACGCTTTCCACTTATTATAATATTTAATAATTTAACAATAGGATATTATTCATTTCCTCGATGGCTAACAGTGTTGAGCATCTTGTCATGTGCTTGTTGACCATTGTGTGTATTTTTTGGAGAAACAATCTATTCAAATCCATTGCCCATTTTCAAAATTGGGTTGTCTTCTTATTGAGTTGTAAGATTTATTTATATATTCTGGGTACTAGAGCCTTATCAGATACATGATTTGCAAATATTTTCTCTCATTCTGTGAGTTGTGTTTTCACTCTCTTGATAGTGTCTTTTGAGGCACAAAAGTTTTTAATTTTGATGAAGTCTACTTTCTTTTTCTGTTGTTGTTGCTTATGCTTTTGGTGTTATACTTAAGAAACCCTTGCCTAATCCTAAGTCAAGATTTATACCTGTGTTCTTCCACGAGTTTTATAGTTTCAGCTATTATTAGTATATTTAGTCTTTGATCCATTTTGAGTTATTTTTTGTATGTGGTGTGAGGTCGGGTTCCAGCTTCGTTCTTCCTGTGTGGATGTGCGGTTGTTCAGCACCGTCTGTTGGAGAGGAACGCTCTCCAGCTGGAGTCTGCCTCCCCAGCTGTGCAGACAGCCTTGCAGTATGGAAAAACAGCCACAGAGCTTCTCAGGAGTGCTTGGTAATCTCCGTGGAGTTCATAAAGTGATTCTTATGGATGGTTATGAGGCATTTACACATTTAAAGAGTTTAAAAGGAAGTATCTGCGTTTCAGAATTTTTTACTGCCGTGGAACTCTTCTACATTTTATTTTGTTTTATTTTTTTTTTTTGAGACAGGGTCTCACTGTTACCCAGGCTGCAGTGTAGTGGTATGATCTCCACTCACTGCAGCCTCTTATCTCCCGAGCTCAAGTGATCCTTCCACTCAGCCTCCTGAGTAGCTGGGACCACAAGTGTGCACCACCACACCTGGGTGATTTTTGTATTTTTTGTGGAGACAGGTTCTTGCTATGTTGCCTAGGCTGGCCTCGAACTCCTGGGCTCAAGCAATTTGCCCACCTCAGCCTCCCAAAGTGCTGGGATTGCAGGCGTGATCTGCTGTGCCCAGCCTCTTCTACATTTTATATTTGAGAATGTGGACTTGATTCAGTGCTTCTTATGGTTTGATAAACTTGAAATAACACTCATCTCATGAAATCCAGTCTCATTTGTCATTCTCTGTATTTGAACCCTGATAAAAATGGACCCGTATTCAGAAGCTGGGCAAAAAGGAAGTCTGAGAAGTTGTTCTCTATCTGCTTTCTCTCTGTGTGGTTGCTGAACATTTTTGTGTACTTCGATGGCAAGTAGAACCAGATTCGTCAAGAATTCAAGCCTGAGTCAATTTTTTTTAATTTTTATTTTTCTCTTACATTTAAGGGAGAGCTGACAAATGAGGCATGAGTCTAATGTCAAAGTGTATTTTTACTGTCTTGTTAGTCACAATTGTCTGTGTTTTCATATCTAACTAGTGTTTTGTATAAGCGGGAATTTTGCTGTTTTTAGGAACTCTTTTGTAGTTGCTGTAGCTTCTTTGCCCTCTGGTAGCAGAAATGGGTATAACCATTTGGGAAAGTGATTTAGTGAGTGTCTGAATAACTGCAAAAGACTCTTGGTCCAAAATTCTAACAGTGGGGCCCTGTCCTGAGGAACTAATCTTAAATATGAAGCTCATGAACATGTTTATTGTACCATTAAATATAAAAAGTTGCAAACCACCCCAGGCCCAAGTCCAGCTTAGGAAAAGCTCCACCAGAACACTCCAGTTTAATGACTCAGTGCGTTAATGATAGTAGCTGATAAAATGGGTACTGCGGGCGGATTCCGTGCTGTGCCCTGTGCGCGTTCTGTGCCACTTCACAACTTCATGGCGGCTGCACCAGGTCACAAAGCCAGAAAGTGGCAGAGCCTGCAGCCCTCAGTGCCTGAAGCAGCCAGCCAGGTAATTGAGGAGGGCAGCGGCAGGGACAGTACTGTGTGATGTTGGAGAAATAAAGAGGCAAAGCTGTGTTTACAGAATGCATTTTAGCAGTGTGTAAAGCACCGGAAATAAGACGGCAGAGGAAGTTTCACAGATGATATTGGGGGTCGTGTTAGGTGGTGGAATTTGTATTATTTTTATGTTTACATCTGCTTGCCTGCATTTTCTAAAATGAGCATGTATTATATTTCATATCAAAGGAAACAAAAAGGCATAACACGCTGTCCTGTGTTATGCTTCCTGTCAATGGAAGACTCCTAATGGTAAGAGGGGCTGTGTCACGACATGGCGATGATTCCGGATGGAGAAGTGGTTGCCCTCAGCCTTGTCTGGAATGTCCTAAAACAGCCAAAACGGTACTGTTGGATCAAATTAGATTGAATTTGGGAGTCAGATATACAAAAGGGCATGCTTGTGAAAACATAGGATTTAAATTTTGTAATATCCTAATAAATGTGTACATTCTGTGGAACAACTTTATTATGTTCCCCTTTGTTTAAACTTTTAACTCCTGTGCTGAAAATAAATCTATACTTATCTAGGTGGCGAGCTCAAGGTCTTGGTAAAAATAGGATGTATTTTAGCCTGACAGGCAAACTGTTTGGAAAAGCAAGTTATTGTTGCTTTTAAGTTATTAAATAATTCATACATCATACAACTCCCCTTTATGTTTTTATGTTTTTTTTTTTTTTTTGTTACAGGGTCCTTTTTTTTTTTTTTTTTAAGACGAGTCTCACTCTGTCACCCAGGCTGGAGTGCAGTAGCACGATCTCAGCTCATTGCAACCTCTGCCTCCTGGGTTCAAGTGATTCTCCTGCCTCAGCCTCCCAAGTAGCTGAGATTACATGTGTGTGCCACCACACCCGGCTAATTTTGCCTTTTTAGTAGAGATGGAGTTTCACCATATTGGCCAGGCTGGTTAGGAACACCTGAACTCAAGTGATCTGCCTGCCTCAGCCCCGCAAAGTTCTGGGATTACAGGCGTGAGCCATGTGCCTGGCCTTGACATAGGGTGTCACCCAGGCTGGAGTGCGGTGGTGCCATCATCACTCATTGCAACCTTGGACTCTTGGGCTTAGGTGATTTTCCTACCTTGGCCTCCCCAGTAGCTGGGACCACAGGTGTGTGCCATCATGCCCAACTAATTTTTTAATTTTTTTGTAGAGATGGTGTCTCACTGTGTTGCCCAGTCTGGTCTTGAACTCCTGGGCGCAAGTGATTTGCCTACCTCTTTCCTCCAAAGTGCTGAGATTATAGGTGTGAGCCATAGCATCTGGCAATTTTATTTTGACTTTTTTTTTTAGACACATGGTCTTATTCTGTCACCCAGGCTGCAGTGCAGTGGTTCAGTCATAGCTCACTGGAGCCTAAATTCTGGGTCCAAGCAGTTTTTCTGCCCCATCTTCCCTAGTAGTTAGGACTGCAGGTGTATGCCACCACACTCAACCAATTTTTATAGTTTTTATAGAGATGGAGTCTTGCTGTGTTGACCAGGCTGGTCTTGAATTCCTGGGCTCAAGTGATCTGCCTGCCTTGTCCTCCCAAAGTGCTGAGATTACAGGTTTGAGACACCATGCCTAGCTCCACTTTTCTGTTTTATTTACACACTTGAAAACAGATGGGGCTGGGTGCCGTGGCTCACGCCTGTAATCTGAGCACTTTGGGTGCCCAAGGCGGGAGGATCACCTGATGTCAGGAGTTCGAGACCAGCCTGGCCAACATGGTGAAATACCATCTCTACTAAAAATAACAAAAAATTAGTCGGGTGTGATGGCACACACCCATAGTCCCAGCTACTTGGGAGGCTGAGGCAGGAGAATCTC